ATATTTACAACCTTTGCAGGTCTGTAAAGGAAAGGAAAGCTGAAGTAAGATCATAAGCATTGTCACGGTTTCACTTAGCAACTGCTTCACTTAACAACCTAGTTACCAGTCTCAATTGTGGTTGCTAAATGAGGACTACCTGTACTTTCAAACTGGTTTATTTTTCTATCAAAATATATATGCATCCACGAGTGACAAATATTGGATAGGTGTGTCAGTCCTTTATAATACATCCTGGAGTAAGCTCTCTTCAGATATAGGCTTCAAACATATCCATGCAGTTTTTCAAACACACTATCACTTCCCTGTTCTCTTTCAAAACTCCATAGTCTCAGCCATTGGCTCAGTTTGCAGTTGGCAGTTTCTTTCAACATACCTGACATATGAGTGATCTACCTGTCAATCCTAACCCTAACCATTGTACTCCTGGAGGAAAGACAGGGTATAAATCTAACAAATAAATAACCCATAATTCCCATATAAGGAATATAGTGCTTTTAAGAGCCCAAAACACTTGAATTGTGATTCTTCTAATAGTGGTAGGAAGTACCAAGATTGAGACACATCAGGTTGCTTAAGCCAACCTACTGAGTTTATGGCAGAAGTAAGATGTATGACCTTCCTGAATTGAAGTTCAGTCTGGGCCAAATTTGTATGTGCCTTTAAACATGCAATGTAATGTTTTTGTCCAAGAGGCAAAATATTGGGTGGGGCGTGGGGGACCAGGACTGAGACTGAGACTGCTAATGGAGGAAAGGTGATATGAACACACTCAGATTGCAGTTCCAATGGAAATCAAAACTTCAAAATTGTAGTTTGTGTTCATATGAAAGTGAATGAATTTAACTCAGCAACTAGCAAGATAAGTCTTTAGTATTTTAAAAAATAAAAATGAGAGCCAGTTTAGTGTTGTGGTTAAGGCACCAAGCTAGAAACCAGGAGACCATGAGTTATAGTCCTGCGTTAGGCCCAAAGCCAGCTGGGTGACCTCATTCTTTCTCAACTCTAGGAAGAAAGCAAGGACAAACCATTCCTGAAAATCTTGCCAAGAAAACTGCAGGGACTAGTCCAAGTAGTTGCCAGGAACAAGACAGACTTGAAGACACACACACAAAGTAAAAATGCCTTTATGCTGAGCTCAGCTTTGGGTCAATGGCATTATATATCCATGCCATTTTTCTTTTCATGATATGGAAGTGGTTTGCCATTCCCTTTTCCCAGAACATTTGTTTGTTGTTTCTCAGCCTAGCCTATAGCCCTGAGATTTCCTAAATTGGCCAAGTTCAGCTGCTAAAAGCTTAAATTGTCCAGGGATCCATCATATTTGTCCAGTAAAGGCCTAGACTGTGAAATAATATTGTTGGTACTGCAGGAATGGCAGGAGATGCAACCCCAACTGATTGCAGTACTTGGCCAAATTGCTACACCACTGAAATAATGGCATTCACCAATTAATTGATTGCACATATTACTGAAATAAGGCATTAGCAACCTGTTTAGTAGTCAGTAATATGTGAAAATTACACAGTACAAGGAAGCATGATAAACTCAGATAACCTCATTTTGATTCTGATGGGACAGAGACAAACTCTGGTAGGCTTTCAAGATTTTGCTATTATACAAGTAGCATTGTATATTACTTGTATATTATACAAGTAGCATTCCTTGAATCCCTGTGGTTCCTGTTTCTTGACCTGGCCTACCTCGAAGGGCTGACAAAAGCATCATGGCATCATACTGGAAACTCCACTCATATGTGCATGTGAGGTCACAAAAGGGGAGGGGCTTGCAACACTATCTTTCCCTTCTTTTGGGAATCAAGTCTCTCTTCATTTTATCCCACAGTAACACCTCTAGGTGTTAGCTGGGCTGACAGAAAATGACTGATCCAATTTGTTTTAATTAAGTTAGATAATGTATTATGCTTTTCTCTTTGTTTGCCACCCAGAGTTCCATTGGTTAGATGTGCAGCCATATACATTTGTTAAATTTGTTAAATAAATTAATAAAGAAGCAAGCAAGCAAGCTCCATGATCAAGTGGGGACTTAAATCTGGAGCTCCCTAATCCAAGCATACCTCATGACGCACTGGCTCACACGTACTTTATCACTGACTATGACTATGTCTTTTTTAGTCCTAAGAAGATACTTTCCCCTCTTGTCTTGTATAGCATAGACTATACAGTATCTTATAAAATGATCCTTGTATGACACATGTAAGACGCATTTAAATATTAATGGATCATTTTGTAGATTAATGGATCATTTCTGTAGATTTTAAGCAGTTGATTAAAACACAGGTAATTCTTTAATACTTTTCAGACAAGTCATGTTCTTATCACTTGAAGTTATTATTTTATTAATTTAGCAACCTTGGGGATATTAATGCACTCTTAACATCTTAGTGTTAGCGATTTTTTACCCACATTTTTAACAACTGATTTACACAGCTCCAAGGTCAGCATTTCCCACCTTTGTACCATTGTATTATATGATTTACAGTATATCATTTTATACCACTTTTCCAAATGAGAAAAGCACCAAAAGAATAAAAAGTCAGCAGAGCCAAGGGGTGGTAGGAGCTGAACATACCAGGATTCAACTTGTTGTCATATTGGGGAAATGAGCAGATATGAAAATCTACACACTAGAAACATTTGAAATTTTTCTTAACCCCACAGCAGAGACCATCAACTACTAATGTTAATGACTTCCCTATGAAAACCCTTTGTATTTGTATTTCTTTGGGGCAATGAGCTGGTCAACACTACTTTTGCTGATCAATACTCATTCCCTCTCCAGCTTTCTGATTTTCCAATTTCATTTGATAGCAGTGAATGCAGCAGTGGATTATTTTTATCATAAGTAAGAGACCCTTTTCTCTTAACAGATTGGCATCCTTGCCCACCCACCCCCCAAAAAAAGAATTTTGGATGACAATTTTCAAAATCCCTTGCCACTAGCCATTCTAGCAGTGGCTAGTGTGACTCACTATCCAAAATACATCAGTAGTACCAGCGTACCTATTTCTGGTTTAGCTAAACATTAATAAAATACAATTACTATTGTTTCCTCTCCTCTTACAGAAAGCATAGTAAGGAAACTTACGGTAATGTTACTTCTCAAAGAAGTAACTTAAAGATAATAGGTACAAAAGTTAGCCACAAGCATTATTTGCATCCAAAAAATATTTTAGCATTGAACTATCCAGATTCCCAAGTATAAGGATGCAATAAATTCTTTATCATGTTCATGTTTCTTTCTGATTTGATGGTCAAATCTATGAAGTCAGCTTCATGCTGAGTTTTCTTACAAAAGAATTTAATTTAGCCTCTGTGTATCAAATGTAAAACATTGTACGAACATAGCAAGTTTTGCCTGCAACACCTTGAGAACAGGATAATAATATCATGAGAATGCATTTTCAAGCACAAGCTCTACATGAAAGATTATGTCCAATACTTTACATAATTTACTTTATGCTGGTCTTTGGCCATAATAAAGATTTGATTTGATACATAATTTACTCATACTTCACATACTCACATACTATATTGTACAATGCTAACTTTTATCATAGCCTTGGTTTTGTATCCTAAAAACACAAGGATCTCTGAACTAGAGAAACATCATTAGCATTCTTCCCTAAGCAATATCTACCATCCATCATTATGAATGTCTCACCATGTTTTGTTTACCCACTACACAGGTTTTCAAAACAAATATATGACCTGTTAAACAGTATTTTATCCGTGTAAGTGAAAGCAGCTCAATAATGCTTTTTCCAGTATGCAGTTTAGTTTGTGTGTGTGTGTGTGATTTGGTTTTGCATGGGGATTTTAAATAACAGCTAGTTAATACACACACAAGGATATTCTCCTGCTCAAGTCACATAGGAATTAATGGGCATTCTGCAATAGCATGGAAATTCTATCCTGTGTGAAAGACCTGGAAAAGCTTAATGCCCCAAGAGTTGTACCTTGATTCCCTTCTCATGCAGGTGAGTACTTTTTAAAACAAAGATAAATTGTGCATTTATCCACAGCTTCTAATATGTCCTAATTCATTTTTTTTCAATATTTTTCTGATGCTATCCTCAAAAAAAGAATTGTTCTAGTGCACACTAGCTGCCTGGGTGTAATTTCTCCAGTACAGGTAGTCCTTGTTTAGCAACCACAATGGGTACTGGCAACTTGGTCATTAAGCAAGGTGGTCATTAAATGAAACCATGATGATCATTGGAAGAGACGGGTGTATGTGGTGTGGCTTGCCTACATCTCTTCACCTAACATTCAGCCAGAACAGGAATAATAGTCCCGCTAGTACTAAAGAAAGATTCAGTCTTGTCAGTCTACTCAGTGTGGAATGGAAGTCTGCCCTGTTTAAACAGCAAACTATCTTGGACTGGACCTGCTAAAAAGAGATCAGTGTTTGTAGGAAATAGTTGCTAAGAAAGAAAAATTAGGTGGGAAATAATCATTCATTTGGCTGTGCTAGTTTTTAATGGGTAGTGTCCATGTGTGTGTATAGTGATTGAAGGTGTAATCTCACATCTATCTTCTGAACAAGAAATATGCACAGTACATCTGCTGATTATGAAGCTTACACCCATGTCCCAGCTTGAGCCTCTGCCTCCATTCAAATTCCTCCTATTACAGAAAATCCATGTTGGCCCCAATGATTGCTTATGCCACATCATGCCAGCTCTTCCTACTTCAATTTCCTTTTCCCTTTTCCCTCTTTACTTTTTACTCAGTTCATTTGTGAGATAGAAATTTTCCATGGAATGTTGTTGGATCATTCTCTGTTAACCTCAGAAGGTAAGCAAAGTTGAAAATTAGCATGATTAGTGTGCAGTGAAAAGGTTTTGATTATATCAAATATCAAAACCCAATTGAAATTATATTACATAGTTCAGGGATTTTGCTTCAAGTAGATTTTTAGAGTTAGTGATGCAGATCCCAGCCACAGAGAACATGTCTTGTGTCCCGCTTTCCTAGGCATGCAGGTGCTGGAATGGAATGGCATTCCCTTGACAGGCAAGACCTACGAAGAGGTCCAGAGCATCATCAGTCTACAGAGTGGGGAAGCTGAAATATGTGTAAGACTGTGAGTTTTTCTTCATCTTCCTGTTTCCATTATTTTTTGGCTTTTCATGGCTTTTTTATTCACAGTTGTTAAGTTGGAACCTTTGCAAACTGCACTTTGTAATATTTTATATGAAAAGAAAATGAAAGTAATTATAAGTATTAAAGGAATATTTCTTTGTTCCTTATAGTAAACTGATACAAAAAGGAGATGTCTCAGTGGAATTAATGAATCTGGGCTACAACCTTTGCATTTCACTTGAGGCACAAGTGTCAAAACAATATTAATTTCAGAGATCATATTGACTTATTTTGAATTACAAAAAGAATGAAACTCCATTTTTAAATGAAAAAAATATTTAGCAAAATTTAAACTAAATGGATTCATAATGTATCCTTTATTGCAAGAATAGTATTATCTTGCATTACACTTAGATCGAAGGAGTTCTGGATTCAGATTTCAGTGAACTCATAAACTCTTCAACAAACTCTGGTGACCCAGGTAGAAATCTACTATTGACAAGAAAAAGTACAGGACTATGGTTCAAAGATACGTAATTTTAAAGCACTCTGTGATTCAAAGTACTGGGGAAAAAAGGTTAACATAAACATACAAATTGTTACTCATCTAGACATTGTGTAAAGTGTATGTATTTGAGTGTAACCTACCTTTCTTCTGTTCATAAATTCACCTTAAGTGTCGTTCTTCTCATATCACAAAGCATCACAAAGATAGGAGCTGCTTTCTCCCATCTCATTTATCTACCCTAATATTGCCATCAGGGTGTCTGGACAGGGCTCCTTTTTTCTTAGGTTTGTTGTTTCTTCTTTCAGGAATATAAGCATGCTGTCAGATGGCGAGAGTTCACAACATCTGGAATTGCTTGAGCCAGGAAAGACTGGTAAATGAAAGTATCCAGCTTTTCAATAACATGGAAACTGAGGTGGAAAGGATACATCTATACTTAGCATATAACTTGTAGTTTATGAATTTGCAGCAGATGGGACTGAAGAACCTGATGATATGCATTTTTTTTCCTTAGAGAACTACAAAATGTTTCATGTGGAAGTAATTCAGTGTAGGAAAGTTCCATCCCCCCCCCCCCCCCCCCCCCGCAACTCCCAAACGGGTGGATCTAGGCATTCTGGGTTGGGTCCAGTTTTTCCAGGGATAGTTTATCTGGAACCAAAAATGTGAAATTCCAAATTTGATCCACATCTGAACACCATAAAATACTTCCAGTTGCATTTTATTATGGACAAAACCAGTTTAAATCACACAGCCAAATTTAAGTTCCAATATTTCAGTTTAGTATTAAAAAAATCTGAATTAATTTAAATAAGGATAGGCAACATACTGCTATGCTGTTATCATTATATCAGGAGAAATCAGCAAAAAACATAACTGAGCTAGACCTCTATTGCTGACTGATGGCTAGAGAATGCAGCACTAGGGTCCTAATGAAACATTAATGTTTAAAAGATTAATTCTAAACTATTACAAGTTTATAATGGATTGAATCCAAAAAGCCCAATACTTTTGTATTTAAAAAAAAAAAAAAACACCTCATTCCACAAGGAAAACTCTACCTGCTCTACTTTGGATGTAGGAAAGTAAATTTTTCTACAATAAAAGATTTTTATTGTAATTATTAAACTTATTAATTTAATTAATTATTAAATTAAATGTGTTTCTCTCATTAATTTGTCAGTCACTGCAGTAACTTTGCATTTACTGACTAAAATTCTGGAC